GGACGCAGTCTTCAGTCAGATGGCCATGGCTCCTATGGTACTGACAGTACTTGCTCTTGTCTGCTTCGGGCTTGGCGGGGGCAGGTCAGGGGCGTTTGACGCCGCCGTCTTTAAAATCCGTGCTGGCACACTCCGCCAAAATGCGCTCGCGGGAAGCTGTGAGCGGAGTGTATTCGGTAAAACGCCCCGAGGGTCCTCTTTGCTCTCGGACTTCTCGGGGTCTGTCCTCTTTTCTTTTCTCCCCGGCTCGTCGAGGAGGGGCGGCTTCCTGGCGTGGGTTGTTGTTGGATCCGCGAGTTCTGGGGTCCCGGGCTCTTTTGGCCGCCTCCCTTTCCTCGTAATCCATGTATGCCCGGGCTTTTTCGAGGAGGTCATCGAACGTTCGGGGCGACTCGATGCCTATTGCCTTTCTGAATTCTGTGCCGGGGAGGAGCCCCCTCTCCAGCAAATACCTTTTCATGTGGTCTGTGCAGAGGACCTGTATGGCTTCGCGATTGAAGCGATTAATAAACTCTCTCAAGGTTTCATCCTGTCTCTGGATGATGGCCTCGAGAGCCGCCTCGGTCTTTGGGTGTCGCTGAGACGCAGTGAACGAACTTATGAATTGGTTCTTCAGGTTTTGCCATGAGGTGATTGATCCTGGAGCAAGGCCTTTATACCAATCCATTGCTGCCTTTATGAGGGTCGTGGGGAACAACCGACATTTGATGGGTCCCTCGACGTTGTGGTAGTGCAGCATAGCCTTGAACCCGTCTATATGGTCGACCGGATCCGCGACTCCGTCGTATTCCTTCAGATGTGGAGGCTTCTCCATGCCCGGGGGAATGGACGCCTCCATGATGGCTTGTGACAGGGGACCGCGGGGGTCGTCCTCGTCACTTTGCTCCGGGGACAGGGATGAGGACCTGTAATATTGTCGCGCCCGACGGTCCTGGTCGTGCGGGGCATCCCTCGAGCGTGGTGCTTGTTGGTTGATTCTTCTGTGCCCATCTCCAGAGTGTCTTCTTTCTTGCCGTATGGGGGCGTGGCCGCGTCCCCCAACTTCAATGACGGGTTGCCTCTCCAAAGGGGGTCGTCTCCCTGAGGATCGGGGTGACGGGCTTCGGGAGGTGTCTCTGTATCGCCTCCGCGGGGGAGACGGGAAATGTACCTCTGTTACTCGAGGAGGTGGAGTCTAGGGCCTCCTGTGTCTCCTCGCGGGTCTTCGATCGTCTTCTAGTGCCCTCAATCTTTCCCCCTGGGCGAAGATGAGGTAATTCGTCTGATTGATCGCCACGAATAGTGCGCGGGTTGTGGCATCTGCCCCGGCGGGGACAGGGACTTCCTGGAATTGGGCAGCTCGATGGCTTATGGGAGTTGCGTTGTCTTCTTCGAGTAGCGGAGGGACTGAAGAAGATGAGGCAGTAACTCCGTCGCGGTGGACTGAGGGCCCGGGGTTGGTGCCCCCGGGGAGTGTGTTATGACTGGGGTTACCGGTGTTGTCGGGGAGTCCATTTTTATCTACGAGGCCGTTGTTGGTGTCGACGACGCGGATGTTTTGGTCATCCCGAACTTGGTCTGCCATGACGATAGGAAGTGATATTGAGCTTTGGTCTTCGAGGTTTTGCAAGACAGGGAAGCTAGTTTCCCACAGACGGTGCCACTGATCTTACCTGATCAGACTTGAACCGTCACGACTGACTCCGAGCAGAAGTTGAGTGAGATGGAGGGGGGGCACCTGCAAGGCACTCCGATGCTAAAATGAGTGACGGGATGAGCAGATAAAAAGCGTATGTATGGGTAAGAGATGAATACCTGACCCTCTAGGAACAAAGGGTATTTATAGCCCCCAACGCGGGGCCAAGGTCCCCCTATTGGGCCGATCAGAACTGACCCAATAAAGAAACTGTCAGGTTCTACATGTGTAGTGGGGACCCGCACATGGTCTCCCTCCTAGTGATGCTCTGCGAGAAATGAGGAGGGACGAAGACGCGGTCTTTCCGGAGTTCAGGTGATTTGGTAACGGTCGGAATCTGCCCTACGAGGAGGGTGCTCGAGCTGTGCTCGAGCTGGAGTTCCCGTGGGCGCGCGCTCCTCGAGGAGTTGCTTGGATTGGGCCTTCGTTCTTGCTTTTGGGCCAGGGCGGGCCCAGTCCAGAACAATAACATTATTTTTTTATAATAAAATCTGATTCACCATGTGAACATTGCAGACTGAATATTTTATTATTATAAACAATTAGTGACGTGATAATCATGCCGCAATTCACTTTTTTGCCACATGATTATCACGTCACGAATTCACTTCGCTGGGGCCTTTTTCTTGTAGTGAATAGGTGCAATGGAGTGTTAAATAAAAAATTAAATTAATTGGTGTTAAAAATATTCAACATGTTGAACGAGGAGGGAATGAAATCACATATAATACTTTGCAAATTCTTATTGATTGTTGTAATTGTTTAGATTTTTAATTCATTTTAGTTATTTGAAATCAATTATTTTATAATAAATCAATTTTTTATTTATTTTTATTTTCACTAGAATTTATCATTTTTTTTCTTCTATAAATAGATATTTAGTTCATTTGATTTAGACACACAAAAAAAATCTATTTTTCTATCTATTTTTTCCATTTAACATCAAATAAACTCTTGTTTTATTCACTTTTATTTGTTTTAATAATGACTATCCTTATAAAATTAAAAAAATTTAAATAAATTAAGAATATAAAATTAGAAAAAAATTCAAATAAATTATTAAATTAGAAAAAAACAAAATAAATTATTTAACTTTTAATTATTTTAATTTTATTTCAATCAATAATTGATTTTAATATAAAATCATAAAAATATAAATATAAAATAAAGTAAAAATATGAAATAAAAATATTTAACATTGAAATTTATTAAATAAAATTATTGTAAGGAGTAAATATTAAATGAATATTAAATTAATAGACAGAAGAAAGAGAAAATAACGTGAAGTGTAAAAGGTGAAAAAAAAGTTGTTGAATATCTATACTATAAGAATGAAAGAAAAAAACATAAAACATAGTGAGAAAGAAACACATATTATATATATATTTGAAGGAGAGAAAAGGCTTTGGTTCACCAACCCCCGCAATATAAAAAAGGGTGATCATTCGGTCTAAGCGGCCACTCACGCTGAAAGATGGCTTGCAGGCAGTTATGGGCTTCAAGAGCTGCTTCTTATCTCAGGATCTCCGTCTTTCACAGAACCTTCTCTAATGGTCGGTAATCTCTTATCTCTTTCACTTTCTTTTTTCAACTTCACTTAAGATCCTGTTAGTGCCATTTCATTCTTGCATGTTTTCGATACAATTTCTAGATTCTAGATCTCGATTCACGTGCCATTTTGTTCTCCTTTATTTTAATATAACTACAAATATTATTCTTCTACATTACGTTAATGGCTGGGATCCGGGTTTGGGGGAAAATGCACCGGCAATAGATTTGGCAGTGGTACCCTTACCCTACCTCCAATTTTTCATGATTTGATCTCTATTACCGATCCAGATTCTGAAAGGTGGTGTAATAAATTCTTTGAGCTGCATTATAAATCTAGTAGGTGGTGCCGTCATATTGCTGCTACAAAAATAAGGTGGCAGGAGGAAAATTCCTTTCATGCAGAAATTACCTATTACCAACGACTATTTTTATCATAATAGGAGGAGGGTATTTTGGGGTGCCACAATTCTTGCTCATGATGGATAGTGAATTCTGGGGCTTTCTCATTCTTTTAGCACAGATTTCGAAATTTGATGGAGAAAGGGTGTTGAGTTCACTTTTACTTTTGCATTTTGGGGATGGCTTTTAAGTATCTGAAATAAACTCCCAAGCAACATAAATGCAAGGGGTCTGTTATTCTTCTCATTATACTGTCGTTGTAGTGTAGTATTGTTTCGTAACTCATTGATCTCTATCAGTCTCTGCCAGTGAAAGAACCAGCTAAGTTCTTCTTACAATAACTTGGCTAGTCAAAGGAGAGCTTCATTATGTTAACAATGATGCAAAAAAACAATAATGAAAATTGTTCTGAATTACATGATTGTTGATTTATTTGACTTTGTGATAGCTAAGTTACTCTCTCTTCTGTGTTTTAACCACAGTTTTGAACAATCTCAAGTATGCTGATTCTCATGAATGGGTGAAAGTTGATGGAAACTCTGCAACCGTCGGCATAACTGATCATGCCCAAGATCATTTGGGCGATGTTGTGTACGTTGAATTGCCAGAAGTTGGAGCAGCAGTGACAAAAGGAGATGCTTTTGGTGCAGTTGAAAGTGTGAAGGCAACTAGTGACGTTAACTCCCCGGTTTCTGGAAAAGTTGTCCAAGTTAATGAAGAGCTCAGCAGCTCTCCTGGTTTGGTGAGTTTTATTTTTGTGCCTAATTCATAACGAGCTTTTATTACTGAACGGTTATTTTTGTATCAGTCAAATGTTTTTATGTTTTCCTATGTTTCTTGGTGTAGGTCAACTCAAGCCCGTATGAAAATGGATGGATAATTAAAGTTGAGTTGAGTGACAGTGGTGAGCTTAACAAATTGATGGATTCAGAACAGTATTCCAAGTTCTGTGAAGAAGAAGACTCCAATCATTAATAGTTTTTGCAATATCTTTCAGTACTCCCCATGGTGTAGATGAGATGATATCAATTTGGAAGCTAAGAATTGCTTCTTGTTTTGTATTTCTGCTCTTTTTATGATTTTAGCCCGAGCTTCTGATGCAGTGGGGAGTTTGATAATAAAAGAACCACGAGTAGTTTTTATTGCTGACATAGTGTCAATTTTATCATATGATTCCTATTTTAAGTTGATGTCCTTGTTTTCAACTAAACAGACTCATTTCGAGATATATGCATATGCAATGGTTGCAGAGTGATTCGTGCAGAAAGAGTTAATACCGACATTTATATATGGTGTTAAAGTAGTAACCCTGCTATCCTATCCTGTCTTATTTTCTTTTCCGTTTCTTTGCTAAAGTGATTGGGTTACGTGGTTGATGAAAGAATATGGAGTTGTCCCTTATGACAAGTTCAACAACCAACCTTGTTTTCCCATTTTCATTTCAGAAAATGGCGTTGTCCTTCTAATGAACAAACATACTACCCAACTTGTCCTATATGACATAAATACTGGTCAGTTGATTAATTTATTGGAAAGCACCAACGCTCTAAGGTTCAATCTACATATTTGCAGTGAGAGTCTTGTATCACTGTCATAGTAAGTCACATTTGTGAAGCCTTTTAAGTTTTAGTTAAAATAGGTTTACTTTTGCTTCATATCTACTTATGTTGGGATGTTGCTTTTTATTATGAACGATTGTCTTACAAGAGTTATAACCTTTATATACTAAATAGCAGAACTTGTTATGTTTCTTCTGTTGCTGTTAAGATGCATTTAGATTAGTTGTTGTTTATAGTTTGTCATTTCTCGGAAGGGGGTCTTCACATAAACTTGTTGGTTATTTTGTTTTGCAACTTCAAACAGAAATATTATTGAAAAAATCAGAGTTTGATTACATGAGTCACACAATATATTGGTACAATTTTGTGTATATACTCATGTAAGAATGAAGGAAACGTCTGAGTCTGTCTTTTCCCACAATCATTTTCTAGCTTACTATTGTGAAGTAGCAGAGTATTGAAGATATTGTTTATTATATGTGAATTTTATTTTCAAAATTATTTAGTAGGGTTATAAAAGTAACATTTTAATCCACAGTTTTTAACAAAGAAGTTAATATGCATTAGTCTTAGTGAATTCATATGAATAATTGAATGTATAGAATTTTCCTCAAATCAAGGATGACAAACAACTTTTTGTAGGAGAGTCGTGTAGCTTGAGGTAAACCAGTATGCACAGGTTATGAAATGTAGCATTCACACTCTTGGAGTTGGAGGGATATTTAGGTTGAAGCAATTAAAAAAATGTATGTTGAGACCATACACCAGATTCAAAGACAACAAGACACCTCATAGAGGTATACATAAGATTGACAGAAAGAGAGTTATGCACACCAATAGTTGCTTTTAAGTATATCATACATCAAATGCAAGATGTTATTGGTGAATCAAAATTATGTACACAAAAAGTTGGAAATCATAGAAAGATTCGTTGACTTATCTGGTTTATAAATACAACCAAAATAGAAAGTACAATCAACTTGTAGGAAAATAAAAACACTTTCTTAGTACATGTTTTACTTTTCATTTGTTATTCAACTTTACACTTTCATCTTTAATGATCCAATATCAGGCCCTACATTTTCATTCTGTTAAAATATGTTAATTGATCAAGTTAAAGATGAAAAATAAGTCCAATGCTCTAAATATTTGTGCTTTAATTGATCAAGTTATATTAGTCAAATCAAGCATAATATCTAGTCCATTACAAAGTTTTGTACCTGAATAGGACGTAGGCGTCAAAGGGAAATCCCTCAAGATTAGCCCATCAGAAGACCTTAGAAGTGAAACATGTTAGACGGGCCGTGATGTAGACGTGTTTTCTAAATAATTTTTTTTCCTACATGCGCCGTCTGAAAAAAAAAACTCTAAAATGCCACATACTGAAATGAAATGTCCAATATGTCACGTACATAAGGGTTTGTGCCATTTGAAATGACGTGAGGGTCCCATCCTTTATACAGTCAATAGGCTGGTGTCATTTCAAATGGCGCGAAGGTGTTTTTTTTTATAAATTCGTTTTTTAATTTTTCTGTTATATTTAATAATTATTTTTATTATTTAATTTTATTAATTAATTATAAATAGTTTAATAAATTATTTAATCATATAATTAATTAATAAAATATTAATTAATTTTTTTAAATAATTATAAATTAACAATTACAATTAAATAATAAAAATTATTATTAAATAATAAAAATTAACAATTACATGATTTAATATTGATGACCCGGACCTAAACGGGTATCGGTAAAACAATAACGCGGCTGAACCATACTGTTGTTGGGTCTCTATTGTTGGAGAATTTTCTTGTGTTGGATCTGATGCTGAAGGGTTTTCTTGAGTTGGAGTTGTAGTCTGCGGAGGAGACAAATGGTTTCTAGTAAATCATAATCAGTGGCGTTAACATCCTCGCCAAAATTGTATTGCGTTTGTTGTGGCAAATTGGAACATAAGGCGTTGTAGGGTTATGTTTGGAGGAGGGGAATCAAAGTTTGGTCGCATGATGGGTGTGAATTGCGTAGTTGACTGATGATATATTTGTGGTTGTTGGGATTCATAGATGTAATATGATTGGGAGTGAGATTGCGGGTATTGGGTGTTAAAGGTTTGATGCAAAAATGAGGGTTAGAAGTTTGTTGTTAAGGATAATGGGGGATGCGGATGGATGTTTGTTGTTGGGAATAATGGGGGATATGTGTTTGTTGTTGGAAGGATTGTGGATGAGGAAGTTGAGAATGATGTGAGTGATGATTGTTGTTGGAATGGTTGTGCAATTTGTTGAGAGCCACTTGCCTGAGTAGGGGCATATTGATTTTTACGAGGGTGATTGAGAAATTGTTGGTATGATGCATATCTATATGGAAGTGAGTGATACCATTGCATGTACTCATTGGATGGTTTCTCCTCTATTTGTAATTGATCTCTGAATATTTCCCAATGCAACCAACAATTTTTATCATCGGAGTATAGTATGGTATATGGTTGTTGGCGCGGTTTGATTGTTGTCATTTTATGGTGTTCTGTCAGGCATCGAGGTTCTTCAAGTATCCTTGTAAATGGCCAAATTGTATTTTGACCATATCAGCTTGATGCATTTCTACGATATGAAAACATATTATATATGTAGTTGAGCTCCATATCAAGTTGTCCTCGTGTCTTTGGGGCGCTAATCCAAATAAACTGAAAAGTTATAGATAAAACTTGTTAGTGTAACCAAAATAAAATTCATAAATTTGTATGAAGTAATAAAGTGAAGACAAAAACCTGGTCTTGAAGCATGTGATCAATTCTGAATCGGTATCCTTGTAGATGGTGGCGTGGATTATTTTGATAGTCAAGTTTCTTGATGCACCACCTAAAAAGAATTTAAAAGTAAACTTTATTTTAAAGTATCCTAACAAATTTAATTATAAATTAAAATTAAAATATTACCTTCTTGCGTAAGGATATGGTGCTCGAAGCGGAGACAACCGTTATATAAAAGGCATGTGTGTAAAAGCCCAAGCTTAAAAAAGTAAAACGCACCCTGACATCTCTATAACTTTGACGTCTACATATTTACATATTTCCCTATATAAATTAGCTAAAATAATGGAACTCCGTCTCAATTTTCCACAATCTTCCAAATCCACAACGAATTGTGTCCATTTGAAGTGGATAGTATTACCGCTTTTGTTAGGGAACAAAACTTTCCCGATGAGTAGTAGGATATAAATACGAGCATGCCTAATTTTATACTCTTCGGGTGACTCATCGGTTGGTGGTTCATGTTGGTACATGTCTTTAAGTCATGTCAACCTGAGAGACATTCCTTTATCAGTTTGTGGTAGTTCATCCCCTAAAATAGAACTTCATGCATCAACACCTAGCTCCGTTGGATCATTCACAACTTTATCATCTATAGGAAGCCCCAATAACATACTCACATCTTTCAACGTAATTGTGTATTTACCGTTTGAAAGATGAAATGTATGAGCTTCGGGTCTCCACCGTTCTAGTAAGACTATAATTAACCTTGAATCGATGTTCGTGGACCCTATTGTAGATACATGATAGAAACCATATTGGTGTAGGTAAGGGATTATGACTGCATGTGGTTTAAGAGGTTTGTGAGCTCGAATGCTCCATTTTGAAACATAAGTATCATTAATCTGTAATAAAAATAAATAATACAGAAAAATATCCAACATTACTATGCAAATAAATTCTAAGAACAAAAATAATATTGAAAGCTCAAAATAAATAATATTAATAATATTGAAAGAATAAAAAAAAACTTACAACAATGATATTTTCTACTGTTCCCTTATGTTTTGTACCATACCAAAACATATTGGACATAATTGTAAAAATGAAGAATTAACTGAGCAACGTATCAAAAGACAGTAGAGAGTGTGGAGTGAATAGAATGAAGTGTGTTTGTGGAAAAATGAGGTGAGAGTGATTGAGTATTTATAGGAAAAATTTGAGAGTGATGAGAGTTAGTTGGTAGTTGAATAATTTAATTAAAGGTGGTTGATATGTAGTTGAATGATTTAATTAGAGTTGGTAGGTAGTTGGATAATTTAATTAGAGTTGGTAGGTAGTTGGATAATTTAATTAAAGTTAAATAAATACAAATTTGTATATTTATTGCGAATATTATAAGTTACATGATTTTGTACACAACGATAAAACTTCATCGGTTGATCTACTGAATCTAACATACAACTCAAATGGTGTCTTATTAACACCAATTCGAAAATCCTCAAACATGTTAAATACATTTGTATCTGTAACATATCTCTGTAATGCTCCTATTAATATATGTGATTTGACGCAATTGATTTTTCAAGTGAATGGGTTTAGGCCTTTACATAAGCCGTACAACTAAAGGATTAGAAAATACATTTCTATAATCAAACATAGCAACTTGTGAATTATACGGAATAATATATATTGAACAAAGTATCAGAGTCATTTTGATGTGAAATCAGAATCATTTTTGTTGCATTTATATAGATGACACGCATGCCATTCACGCCAACAGCTATGCCCTCACGCCATTTGACATGGCGATTGTCAAAGCTTCACGCCATTTAAGATGTCGTATCTCTAAGCTTCACGCCATTTGAGAAGGTGTGACTTTATGGTTCACGCCATTTGAGAAGGTTCACGCCATTTGAGATGGAGAGAGCATGCATGAACCGAATTCGAAATTGCTTTGTTTATTAAGACCAATGCAGTTGTCTCTTGTATCCACCCCGTAATTGAATATTACTTCAAACAATGTCACAAAATCATATTTCTTGTCTCTTACATTTCAATGATAGTATACTTACTGATAATAATATTGGAGTGGTCTTTCAAAATACGGATACAAAGATCTTAAATATTCATCAAAAAAGTGATTTAGCCCACTTGATGAAAAAAATAGAAGAAAGTTTACAACAACATGTAACTTCTATTTTTTATCGATTTCCAATAGTTAATTCACTTGATCACAATGTCACATACAACACTGCAAAAATCAAAGACGATGAAGATGTTTGTT